TGGAAGAACAACTGTTAAACACTACGACGGATGTCGATGATGTGCCAGAGAATGATGCATATGTTCGGCATCTTGAAGAGCAACTGCTAGACGCTACAACCATCACTGCCGGCGACGTGCTGGAGCATCATGTATATGTCCGGCATCCAGAAGAGCAACATCTGGACGGCACCACTGTCATCGCCGCTGCCGCCGATGTGCCAGAGAATGAAGCAAGTCAGGCCTTAGTACCTTCCACATGCTCAAACACTTGGCCCTCCAACTGCTATTCGGAGTATCAAATCATATTGAACTCAGAGCCGCCAATGAAAATGTCACGTACTTCGGAAGAACACAACAGGTACGTACATGGACAACTTTCAATTGAATTTTTTTAAAAATTTTCTCACGTTTTTCTTTTGAGTGTTTTTTATTGAGTGAATTGTTTTATGAATATATTTGGTTATATTGCTAAGAAATTGTCGAAAAGAAAATAATAAATAGAAGAAAAAACTTTTTATTGATTTGAGAACTAGATGAGAGTGGTTTCTAGTCAACATGTTTATGTAATTGATACTTTTACAAATTTTTATTGCTTAATCAGTAGAGGTAGAAAAATGTATTTAATCCTTTTATATTGGTATATTAATGATCATAATTGCTTTTTGTTATAATAAAACTTAAAGAGGGCTCATATAGGTGACATGATGGGAATAATAAAGAAAATTACAACATCATATGGTGAGTCAATTTGACTCTTCTTGCTTTTTTAAAACCGGTAACAAACTTTGCAAGTAAAATGCTTGGAAATTCTAATTTATTTGTTTACTTAGTACCATATCATTTATTATTATTCCTTCCATTCTAAAGGTGGGAAGATCTTAACTCAACCTCTTATATATATATATATATAATATTATTTGTCAAATTAATTTATTTTCTTAATCATCAAACTAATTTATCTAACTTATAAACTATTGTATAGTCTAATGTTATACAGAAATATTTTAAGAAAACTATATCACTGTTATTAGAAATAAATAATTTATTTAGCTTTTATAATCTACTCAAATTTGTTTAATAGCATTTACATTATAAGCAACACGGAAGTATATAATATAACCACTAATATTTTCATGATATGCTATTCTTTTGCAGCAGACAAGTCTTACAAGGACAAGGACTAGAGATGGTGACAAATACACCAATTCAAGTATCCATTAATGCTGAGCAATACAATAATAGCAGACTAGAGATGCTGAACTCTATGGATCATATTTCTGGTTCAGCTCCTCAAACTGATACTGTTACTTCAATATATCAGTCACTACCAACCTGTCAATTCGCCTCATCAATTCCCCATAATGTTCAAGTTCATCATCAGCCCCATCCAATGAATGAATTAAACCGACCACAAGTTCCTTCAAGCTTTCCTGTTCAAATGACATCTCCAATACTGAATCAGCAGTTTAACCTGCAACAAAATATCACACAGACCACCCCTTACATGCAACCCGAAATGGTCCACTTGCAACCAAATCTAATGCCCATATTCCCAGAATTTTCATCATCATCTAATCCTTTTCTTGCACATTCAACTCCTCAAAATCACATTGCTTCTTCAGTTCATCCCATACACCGATATAATCCACAAACACATCATGATCAGTTGCTGCCACAGGCATCCCTTGAATTTTCATCGCTCTTTAATAGGCAACACTTGGTGCATCAACCTTTGTTTAACCCAGGGGCACCAAGTAATGTTCATACCGATATCAACAAGGGAAAGTCATGGACTGAGGAAGAACACAGGTGTGCGCAAGCATTGAAAATTTCTCAATTCTTTGATATTGTTTTTTTAACATAAATAATGTCCTAATATATTTTCTCTTGTTTTCTAATTATAGGTTATTTCTGATTGGATTGCAAACATATGGGAAGGGAAATTGGAAGAACATTTCTGAAAATGTTGTGAAGACAAGGACTCCAATTCAGATTGCTAGCCATGCTCAAAGTTCTTTGACCACCAAATCAACAAAGGGAACAAAAAGAGAAGAAGAAGAAGCATCCATGATATCACCAATCCTAATGTTGAACCCCAACTTCAGCATCAAAATCAAATTGTTTCTTCAAGTCTTCCAATGCATCAATTTCAATCCCTTCAATCTGTAAACTCCAATAGCATATTTCTTGTATAACGATTTTTTGTCCTCTCCAATTAGTTTTGTAATATACAATGATTGTTTGTTTTCTTGCACTGTAGTGATTAAAATATTCATTACTTATTTAGCTCTAATTAAGGCATTCTTTCCCTCCAATAATGCTTCTCAGTCTTTTACAATCCTAACTTTCATTTTTAGTTCGATGTGTGGTAAGGTTCATGCGATTGAAGAGTTTTATAGGATTATTTTCAGACTGGAATCCATCGAAGAAGAAATATCAGTTTGGAATAAAACGAGAATATGAGTATGGAATGTGATTAAGGAATCATAAATTACGTTTACTACAAAGCATTGACAATAAAAAGTAGGGATTGGGATTGGGATTGAAAAAAACCATTAAAGAGTATTTAGTATGAGTAATTATTTACTACATAAGATTAGGCAATCTCATGTGAGTAGGATTAGGGAATATCACATCTCTCCATGATATTCCTAAGTCCCATGTATATGGATTTGTCTAATCTCAAGTAATAAATAATCACTCATACTAAACACTCTTTTAATATATTTTTTTTAATCCCAATCTCAATCCTTACCTCATTTTTAATGTTTTTTACCAAACAGGACCAGAGAAGTTTTGCCTTCAATGCTTCACCTCCTTTCATGAAACATTTACTTACTGCTGCATCTTCCACGGAGCATAGTAATGTGGTTGTAAGGGCATTAACTCGTGCAATTAAAATTTGGGCCAAGTACTTTCACAGTAGAGTTTCAAGTTATGGACATTGACGTGTCATACATCATCCTAGTTGTCAGGCCTTGATTAGTGGTGCAAGAGCTGTGCATTCAAACAATTAACTGAAACAGGACAGTGTGTCAAATTTTAACAAAAAATTCCAATGCTTCTATCCTTCATTATACATGCTGAGGAAACCAAAAATGTTGAACAAGAACACAAACAGCGTTTGGTAGAAGTTGTTCAGCAGAAGAAGAGTCTAGCATGAGAACTCACCCCCAGATATCAGCTGACGATTAATAATTTAATACCTCACCATCATAAGCAGATTGTCATAAGCAACCTTTAGGTTTTAATGGTGGGCGGGGACCAAGAGGCAAATTATGAAGAAGACTTGCTTTAAGGTGGTATAAAGTGAACACTAGTTTTGAGAAGAAAAGTGTGGAATTTTGTATCTCTTCTCTCTGCCACTTCTTCTTTTCTCTCTGAATATTTCTCCTCTTCTCTCTGTAATTTCCTCCAGCAGTCTATGACTAAATATTAGTTGTAAATATATATTCACCAGATTTCCCCCCATTTTTCTTTGTCCGTTATCTAGATTACAGGGGTGTTAATCACACAGATACGCTAGCACAAAGTGAACACAAAAGACAACAATAGCAGCACATTTAAAGCAGATATTGAATGACCAGAACAAAATTGATTCGTTACAGACAATTGCTCCTTGCCTTCAATTACAGGCAAATGGTATTGAAATCTGATGTTAAGATATCCATATCAGTTGAAATACATGCAACGAACCACACATCTCCACATTTCATATTCAAAACCAAAAAGAAACGAGGGAACACTTTCTTAACTTCTGACTCCAAAGAGAAACAAAACAATGACTTACCTTCGTTTTATATCATTGCTGCAATATATTACAACAACCAAGCATGTGTAACAGGAACAGGTTCCAGCAAAATATATAGATTAATTTGATTTGATTACTGCTCATAAGTAACATTGTCCAGCTCAGATTCCCACAAAAGTTTTATACTAAGTTGGCGATAATCAGATGCCTTTTAGATTGATAACAGTAGGGTAAAAGCATGTCTCTTTTAAGTGAATTTGACTTGTGTTATAGGCAAGAAAGGGCTTAAAAGCAAGGCTCAAATCTTAGCCACAACATAGTTAATCATGTTTCTCCTGTTAAAATGCCTTTCCTTTGGTTCTTGTGGTGATAAATCCAAATCATTGATTATAACTTTTTTTTTCCCCTCAATAGGAGAATGAATGGTGAGATACAAATAACAAAAATTGCAGCAAGTGGTATCTTTACAAAGAAGAATATCTTCATTATTTTAAGACAGAAAATATCTAAAGAATGTATCACTAATCAAAATTTGACTGCGAGTCAAGGTTGTATGCAATACTAACTACATAAACTAGTGGCTTCAAAATTTGCTTCACTTGCTTTTCTTCCTTTTCATATAATATAAAATAAATAGTATATTACACAGACACCTAGTCCCACATAAACCACACACCAAAAACTAAATTATTACATATTCATATACGAAAGAAAACAGTAAAACCTGATATTATAGATAGCTGAACATCTGTGTTCATCATTATATATAACATCTCCAAAGGGTATCAGGGATTCCACTAAAAAGGAGTAGAAAAGTAAAGCTACAATGCAATAACTAAGATTTAGCATATAAGAACTTCCATTCTGCGAATTGACTGGTATAAGGCTTTCCACGTAATCGAAAATACCAAAAAAACAGCCATGGATAATTAACATCCCTAACTCACAACTCGCTTCTGGCTTCTGATTCTTCACTTGAAGTTCACTTACATTGCAGACAATGTCATCCCCCAAAAGGTCACTGGATGTAAATAGAATCGATGGGTGCTGCTCCTGTATTTCTTAGTCTAAGTCCATCCCTCCTCTAATTCACCTCTACCCTCCTCCGTCACCCACAAATCAACAAAAGAAGACCCAGATGTTCCCATCACAGTGACACTAATAATAGCTAGTTTGTTGTCACACGCAGTAAACTTATCATTTGAATTATTATCTAAAGCAGGCGATGGAAACAAGGTGAACACTTCCCTTGCTATGTCAAAGGAAACTACCACAAAAATTTTGTCTTCCCCCACAGGTAGCTTTGATCCAGTCCAATACACAGCTCCATTAAAAGTTTTACAGTTTCCCCATAAAAAATTCCAGCTATTCGCTTCAAGTTGACCGGTTCTATTTCTTTCCATGACCCTGTGCTTAATGAGTACACTTCCACTCGATTCACCTCTGTATTAAACTGCGCAGCATAAGTTCTGACTATCTTATATTCCTTGATAACTGGACTAAAACCAAATCCTAAAGAGCAAATACCCTTAAAACCATCCATAGTTCTGCTTCTAGGAACATTTCTAACCTCTCTAGTTGCTGGATTACACAATAAAAGGGAAGAAGGAGACATAGCATACTTGTCTATTTCAACACAGAGAAAGCCATTGCTGGAGCCGCTGATTTTATCACACCACAAGTCATACATTCTCAGAAATTCAAGGACTTGCAACTTGCCGTTGAGCAAATATAGATGCATCCGATGTCTTCCTTGCAAAAGAAGACAAGATTTTTTATTACTTGAATGGTGGAGATGCTCTCCGATGAAGGATGGAGTCTTGATGAGATTTTTCCATTGTTTGGACGCGCATTGAAATAGCGATTTTACAGGAAGTCGTATGAGGATGTTTGTGATGATTTCTTGGGGAAGAAATGGGGTGTCGCCGCCCATCGGTGCTAGAGCTTCGCAACTTCCCTCGTTTACTTGGAGTAGTTCTCGTATGAATAACTCGTTTTTGTTTTATATTATTCCGACGTGTAAATTACATGAAAAAGTCTTATATTTAGGATGGGAAGCCTGTTATTTAGGCCAATATCTGTATATCAATAAATATTTTTTAGGGGAAATTTTTTTTTTAGCGCTTCAAGTTTAACTTAGTCTAACTTAATTTCTGAACTTTTGGCTCTCTTGAAAATCAGTCCTTAAACTTTGTTTATTTAATAATTTAATCCTTTCTGTACATAATTCTATCTAACTCATCAATTACTTATCCTAATGGTACTTGACTCATCAATTCGTGGCTTCCAGCTCAGCTACTACGTATGTGAAAGATTCATTTTCCTAATATTTAAACATCACATGCTAAATATTTTATATTTGGTTAAATAAATAAATTTATTCAAGTGGTATTCTTTCTAAATATTTAAATACTTACCATTTAACTTTTAGCTAACTGTTTATCATGAACCTAAAACAATAACGAAATTTCAACGTCAAATATCAAACATGACTGATTCAAATCCGATCATATGGTTTAGGGTATCTTTTCTGTTATACTGTGCTTTACAAATTTGATTTGGTAACTAACTTTAAATTAGTTAGAGACTATGATATACTTAAATTTAAAATTGATTTTAATTTTTTTTTTGCACTTATTACATCTAACTAAAAAGATAATAACATAAAAATATATCTATATAATTATTGTGTTTTAAACTATTATACTCGACTAAGAGATTATGAATATCATAAATAAATTTCATATAATTTATTATCAGTAATCTATGATATTTTTTATATTAATTATTTGGATGTCTAATTTAATATCACTATAAGAATACATCTGCTATGATTTTCATTTTCTCCCATTATCTTCTCTAATCAAGTTTTATTTTGAGTATGATTTTATAATTCTGTTAGGGAAAAAGAATGAATGCGCATAGAAATATGTAATTTATAAACTTTTCGTGAAAATGTTTATTTAATCCCTTAAGGTATATTTCATTTTATTTCTTTAATTTTATTAATTTGTATGCTAGCAATTCAAATTTTAAGATTTAGTTAATTTTATGCACATAAAAATTAAATAAGTACTTACAGTTTAATTTTAAACTAATTTTTTTCTCGTTAACTTAAAAATAAATGATGAAATGTTTTTCTTTCAAATAATGAAATTTCAATATCAAATAGCATTCATGATTTATTCAAATATTTCTCTTATTTTTCTTTTATATCAAATAAATATTATTGACAGCAAGATTTTAAACACATGCCAGACATGGGCAATTGAATTATATCTCATTTTATTTTTAGAATTAGAATGAAAATCCTCGTGCGTTTTCTATGAAACAAATTTATGTTTTTTTTACGAAGTAAAATCACCTACTATTTCAACTAACAGCTTGATAATAAAATATCCTGTACTATCATATTATCTTAAAAATATGAAACGCACTCCTTGTTAATTTTCTTTTTCATTGATCTCCCACGGAAATGTCCACTGACTTTTTTTTGTTTTTTTGTAGATCCCGAGCAGCGATACTTCAATAGCATAGTAACCCAATTTCTTCATGTATCCACATATGACATTCATAGAACATTTTTGGTGACATTGTATCCATTGATCGTTGCACCAAGGTACATGGATGGCTCAAAAACGCATCCCTGTGTCGCCAAAAACACAAACGATACAATATATTACCTCTGATCCTTAATATAAGACCCTGTTTGACTTTTATTTTGATTCTAAATATAAGACCCAATCTATTTTATCTCTCATATTTATACATTTTTTTTCCTAAAATAGCCTTTTTAATAATGATAGTTCTAGTCAATACACTTAATTAACAAGGATATTTTAGGAAAAATAACACCCATTTAAGACAAATAACTAACTCAACTTCCTTAATCTCCTCAAATTAGTCAACTGGCTTTTATAATTAGAACCGAATGTAGTATAATGATAATTACTGTGAATAAGGAGAAAAAAAATTTATGTTAAGAATACATGACCTTGTCAAGTTAACTATTAAGGAAAACGAAGTAAATCTGATGTCGAGGAATTTTGGCAGCACAACGTTTCATTAAATCTTGCTTTACCAGGAAATATAAGATATTCATACAGATCTCCAACTGAGCAGAAGAAGTAACTACAAGAAAGGGGACGTCATACAATGATTCAATTGAACCTCTCAACTTGGTTTTGTGAGACAGTCCAAATTTCCATCCTGCAAAATAACTCATTGAACATATCAGAATAATGCTCTGGGATACCTGGCAAGTGTACAGAGAGGATCTTTCATGTGCTGATTTACCTACAGACCTTGTGTCTTCATCATCTATCCTAAGTTTCTGTCTTCTTTTCTTCTTTCAAGTTTTTTTTTTTTTAAAACTTTCAATTCCAAGAAAAAAAGAACTCCAGAAAAATATGAGATAATCAACATACTCTAAATTTACAGAGTATGCAATGATAAAAGAAACTATACAAAAATGAAATACAAGAATCAACACAGACGAGAGGATGGGTTTTCATTTTAGACAAGTGTTCACGTGATAATGAGTAACCGTCAATATCATAAAATTTAAAATTTTGATATACTTTTTAGTTTGAGATCATTGTAGATCAGAAAGTAAAATTGAAAAATCAGTAAGTAAACAAATAATGCTCGTAGAAAACAAACACAGGAAGTGACAATGTCTCGAGCACATAAAAATCATTACATGGATGACTGAAAACTTCATGCCCAGATTCCAAAAACCAGATACTGTTCTGATACACCAATAATTCGAGGAGTAAATCCACTTGCCTAATAGAATAACTACTCAATTATGCATACATATTACCTGGACAAAAAGCACCAGATAAGCCCACACAAAACACCTAAATTAAATATCCATCTTTAGAAGAAAGACGAACAACCGGAACTTACAAGTGAAATAAAAAGCAAGAAACGTTTGGTACATAACATCTCAAGAGGACAGCAAGCCTTAGTACAAAATGATCTAGATTGCTGCCAACAATCTTAAGAATTAATAACGTCTCAATAGTTTTGGCATTCATCGGCAGCAGAGTCATCAAATAGGAAGACCTCTTAGCTTTGTTCTCTTTTGATTTGATAGTCCTATTCAAATTAGCTTTTTTTCTCTTATATGATAGAAAGTTTGGGTTAGGTCTCATGTTTGTTGTTTGTGGCCCATTTTAGAACATTAGCAGAGACCTCATAATAGAAAAATTAGCCAAACATGCTGCTCCTGGCCTCTTTCGCATGATTGAGATGAGAAGGGATGAGCCTTTAGTGCTTGTAGAGGCCAGCGATAACTTGAGTGTTGGGTTCCAACTCACATATCCTGAAGATCTTACAGTTATTTCCCTAACTGCTACTTATGTTCAAGCCCTTACAACTCCTAAAATCAGACTCAAAGTCCTGGCAAAGGAATATGAAGCTTTAATGAGTACAAAACATTGGTCCCATGCACGTTCATTCAACTGAAACTAAATATTTTGTTGGGTGTAAATGGGTTTATAGAGCGAAAGAAAATCAGGATGGAACAAGTAACAAGGCCAGATTACTGGTAAAAGGTTTCCATCAAACAGATTGTTGCCAGATTACTGACTCGTGTGGCTCCATTGATTTCGTTTGAAGCGGTTAGTCAATTTCACATTCACCCGATCTCCAAGACGGTTATTATCGTATCTTCCCATTCTCATATGTATTTTAAATTTTAAAGTAAAAAAAGCTTAAAAATCGTACAACTTACCTAGTTGACAAATAAATATACCATTATTTAAGATCATGCTTGAGTCCACAAATACAATCATGAAATTTGAATAAGAATGATGATTATTAAATATAATTCAATGAATGGCATTAATATTTAAATATTATTTTCGTTTATAATAATATTATTAAAAATAATTCAAAACTTTATGTGAACGCAAATTCTAAATAAAAAACATCGTATATTAAGTAAGAAATAAATGAAAATGAAGGGAATGCGAGGGTAGATACGACGCTGAAATTCAGCCGGGATCTTCTTCAACGCATATACTAATAATTATCTATTATTGCTTTTTTATGGCGGAAGTTTGGATGAAAATCAACTGATCGGCTGAGAATCCGTGGTTACAACTTACAACTTTGACACGAGCAAATAATGCTTTCATTTTAAATTTTATCGTTTTGCTGAAACACTCTTTCCGTTAAAGCCCAGTCCATATATACCTACTTTAACCTCAGTCCCACCATCAGAACTTTCAGAACTCTCCTTGTCCAACATGGGGAACACCATGAAAGTGATGGAAGACCACAACAACATACCCTTTATTCCCTGCGATGTCATATGTAACATTCTCAAAAGACTTCCGATGAAATCCCTAATTCGATTTCAATGCGTATGCAGAGATTGGAAAAATCTCATCGAGTCTTCGTCTTTTAACCTAGAACACCTCCTCCACACCAGTCGTCCAACCCTTTTGCTTCTCCTCAGATGCTACCACAGGGTTAGTTTGCGCATTGTGTTGGTGGATCATTCCACCATGCAGGTGCTTGAAATTCAAAAGCCACCTTTGATCGATCCCTCCATTAATTTTAGGATCGTGGGTTCCAGCAATGGCTTGGTCTGTGTTGAGGTCGGCATCGAGGATCGCTGCATGGTCCCTTCTCCTTTCAGCCCAAAGGAAAATGGTACAGTTTCCCCTTACTTTTTGTTATGGAATCCCCTGACTAGACAGTTTAGGGAGGTGCCCAGAACTATGAAGGGTTCTAATGGTTATTACGATGTCGGATTTGTTTTCAATCCCATTGATGATGATTTCAAGATAGTGACAACTTATGTAACTCAATTTCGTTTTGCCGTTAATCCCGTGGAAGTTTATTCATTAAACTCTGGGTCTTGGAAGGAAGTAGAATTTGAAAACTTTGAGGGCACAAATATTAGAAAAGGGGAAAAAGTCATTGTTAATGGTGTTATGTTTATGTTTGGTGGAAAGCAGAGGCCGGGTGATCATTCTAATACGGTGGTTTCGATTGACCTGACAAAGCAAGTGTGTATCTCGACGCCATTGCCTTTTTTAAAATATGAATATAAACGAATTAATAAAAGGCTTACTGTGTATGAGAACAAACTTGCTTTGGTTGTTGTTACTTTATCTTATATGATTCATTTGTGGGTGATGGAGGAGGATCCATGTGCATCAGGGGGAAGATGGATTTGGACTAAAAAATATACTGCTAGCACCCTTTGTGACCAGTTATGTACACTCGCGTTAAACCCAGTGACTATTTGGAAGAATGAGATTGTCTTCCGTCCTTTTCATTTGAATGTGGATGATGAAGAAAAGAAAAGGTTGTATCTGCTCGATCTCACTACTAACGAGATTAAGAGGTTTAAGATTAAATGTGGCCCCGGCCTTGTCCATGGTAATTTTGATCATGTGGAAAGTCTTGTATCAGTTGGCAACATCAACGATAGAGAACCTTAATCCTAGATTTTACTTTATTTAAACACTTGATGGAAATAAATTCCTAATAATTTCTCATTTTGTATCTATAGTTGTTGAGTCCTTTTGGCAAAATTGTGCACTATGATACTCCTCTGGTCCTAAATATAACACCTTTTCGTAATGTAATTTACACTAGAAAAGGATCTTATATTTAGAACCAAGGAGTATCAAGTATGGTTTAGTTTTCTTCTTAGTCGCTGGTGTATGGTTTATTTTGTATTTGCAATGTCAGGTAATATACTACATGTAGCAATGGTTTCATTATAATGAGATATATTGGAGTTAAGAAAAGTAAGTAAAGTAATTCCCAGTTTCTTGTCTTTCATTTCATTCCTAATCAGTTGTGTAGAAAGTAGTTTTCACATGAAAGTTGACGAGTCCAATGACACATTTCGTATATGAGATCAAATGCCTAGTTTGAAAATATGTGATCGTGTGAGTTTAAATTTTAGTTTTTCTCAAGTAAGCTCTCGTGGCGTGGATCGAAGTTTATATTATTCCTTGGCGAGACAATAAAAATATCCTTTGCCTCTATATAATTTATGATAAAGAGTAGTTTAAATATTATGACACTTTTATCATATATAAAAATTCTAGATCATGCTATGAGATGTAGCGTATCTGTTTTTGTAACCATACATTAATCTGTTAGACAAAAAGAAATCATATATCAATTTGAAGTTGGATTCTTATGAAAACTAGTACGGTACCCGCGCGATGCACGGATATAAATCAAGGTTCTTTTATATACGATAAAATGTTGAATAATCATAAAATAATTAGTTGAAGATCACATTTTTGCTTCAACTCATCATTTCAGCTTAATATATATAAAAAGTAAAGTATCTGTAAGTTTTCAAGGCATGCAAAATATATAGATTCATTATCAACATTTTATTGTTGAGTATTATACCCCCATATTTAAATAAAGCCCAGTATTTAACAACTTGACCTCTTTTAAGAATTTCATCATGCTAAAATCAATGCATACTCAATATCAACAAATTCAACATAGTTACTCCTAAATCAACCTTATTAATATTCTCCCAATAATAATCAAGTGAGAGAAGAACAGAAGGGATAACTAATAGTATTAAGCTACTCAAATTAGTTAATTAGGTTTCATATTAATGACTAGAAGAGTATTTATATACTTGAGGAGGATTCTGAAAACATCAATACAATAAATAATAAAAAGCCTATGTAATCAAGAAGCTGACCCATCAGTACTGGGAAAAAAAACAAAAGAAGCATCTAGTTGATCAACTCAAAGAGAAAAGACTCACCTTTCTTAGTTAAAAAGTAGGCTGCAAACCCCTGTCATCTTCCTACATGTAAATCATGTTTTGTATGTTCATCCAAAACGTTGAGAAACTCAAATTAGAGGATGAGAAATTTTAGAAAGTTTTAAGCTGCAATACACTTTAGATGAAAGTTATGTGGCCCACATCTTAGAATACAAACAATACAATAGGCACAAGAATAATGAACAAAAGCAAAAGATTGAATGACTGAAACGCACATGTAATGAGGTTATGCTTTCTTGAAGTTCCAATATATATATGGCAGCTTTTCGCCCCCGACCATTTTGCAGATTATATGCCAAGGGTTCTGAAACTAAACCAAAATCATAAGCATGTTAAAGAAAAAGATTTTGCCGTATTCTCTATATTTCAGCATTCACACTCAAAATCAAAGAAAATCTAAACATTTGCTAAATAAAATAAAACCAAAATGAAAATATTAGGCTATTAGCATTAATGGCATTTTGATTCTTCCAAGGCTATATATGACTGATGTACTCCTCTGGTTCTATATATAAGGTGCTTCCAGCATATTTCACACCGACTAAGAAAAACCTTAAACTTCATTAACTCTCATTTAAAATTTAATGACTTTCCAACTTTATCCTTATTTAATATACATTATACCTCACATAAACAAAGTCAACACAATAATAAATGAGGAGTAAAATTGTACATCCATATAAAAAATTTCTCTCAATGCCCTATAAATAGGACAAAAAATGCATTCTCTCTCTGTCCTATAAATAAGACCAGAGGAGTAAAATAAATAGTAAAATTTGACATATGGATGGTAAGATAAAGATGAAGGCAGGATTGTTGAAGAAGTGGTAGGGAGTTGAAATCTAAAACATAAATATTTGCAAACAGCAAAAATCATGATTCGATGAAGCATTATGAAAAAGAAATCTAATTAGAAAATATGAAATCGTGCACCCAAATAAATCGGGATGAATCAAGGAAGTTATATCATTTTCATATATTTGTAATTTAATATTTATTCTAGATCTTTATTTTAAGTCAAATGATACTTAACAATGAGTGAAGATCCCTACGCTCTAAGGTTGTGTTTTACTGATATATTTGGTCTATTAATAATCAATAAAAGATACAATTATATGAAATTATTAGGGATTTCTTTCAGAAGATTACCGATAAATATATAATAAAAAATTGCCACGTGGCTCCGGATTTTGTGAATATAGTTCTTCCTATAATTTATCAATTTATAAATCAATTTAAATATTAAGTGGCATAACCATGTTTTAGATTTCAAATACAAACTTTCAAATTGCATAATTTCAAAGAAAAAATTTCAAATTGAATACCCACGGTTATATAAAGTAATTTGAAAAAAATAAGAAATTCTGGGTTTGTTGGTCTCAGTTAATTTAGTTGTATACCCAAAGAGATAAATATATTCACCGGCTAAATATAAAATAATTTCAAATACAAACTTTCAAATTGCATAATTTCAAACAAAAACTTTCGAATTGAATACCTATGATTATATAAAGTAATTTGAAAAAAAGAAGAAGAAAATATGGGTTTGTTGGTTTCAGTTAATTTAGTTGTATACCCAAAAAGATAAATATACTCACCAGCTAAATATAAAATAATTTGAATAATCATTCATATCCTAAAAAAATCATGGCATGTTTACCGGTAAATTCTCTCCAGCAACAAACAAGAGGTGAAAACTGACATGTTTAAACTAAACACGCTCCCTCTAGGTACACACGTACAAGCGATAGGATCCGAATCAGTTTTTAATATTTCTTAGATTAATGATGAATAAGCAATGGACTGTTACAAAAGCGGATATATCGGACTATTAGCAATATAGGTAAAAAATGTGACCCCTTTTTTTAAAAAGAAACAAGAAAAACATTTATCTACTCATAGGTGATGTCACATGTCGTGCTGCCAGCAACTCCTGTCTTGTACTCTACTTTTATATATTAACTAGTACAATACCTGTGCAATGCACGAGTTTGAATCAGTATTTCTTCATACATTATAAAAAATTCAATGACTATGTAGTGATTAGTTAAATTAGTTAAATTCATATGTATGCTTCTGTCACTCAAAAAAAAATTGATATATATGGTCAAGATATAAGACTATAAAAAGTTTCTTTGTAAGTAATACTGAAAGTTCTTTTTTGTGATGTTTCTATCCTTCAAGATCATTATTTTCAAAATATTTAGTGTCGTTGCTCTTAAATGTTCTATATGCTCTTCTAACATGTTTTGCTAATATAATCACAATTAACCATACATCATTACAAAGACAAATTGACTTCACTTATAATATTGTTATGTATAAACATGATTGAAGCACTTAATTTTATTGGAAGACCAAGTATCCACTTCTATATATATAAATAATTATTTAAATTTTTTATTTTTTCCAATTTGAGATTTAAAATACACCCGTATAATTTAATTTGACAACTACCATCAACAATGTAAACTATAAATCATTATTAGATGGGACGTGTGTTCATTCTTTCTTAGTTATAGCTTCCTATTCTAAATATAAGATCCCATATGTATGTTTAAAATAAAAATGAGATCATAAAATATAGTTATTTGATTTTTATGTTTTTCTTAATTTAAAATTTAAAATATTTATTCAAGATTTTTATTCCGAATCTAAAATGTAAAATAAATATTAAATATTTTAGTGTAAATATAATAATGAATCTTAAGTATTAAAAATTTGAAGAAACAACACTGTATACAAGTCCTTTTAAATTCTGTTAAAAATGAAAATAATGCTATAATGTCTTAAGGGCATAATCTTATATATTTTATTTTTCGCTTGAACTCAATATTACATACTTCAATTTTTTTAAATAAAAATACGATTACATATTAATAAGGTGCAATACGATAAAGTCCTCTACTTTTTTATGTCAATGACATAGACGTTCCACTCAAAATCACTGTGAAAAGCTCATATTAACCACTGTAAAAAGCCTCTTTTATCGTATTGTAGGTGCCCGTGCAATATTCTTATATGCTCTATTAACATTTTAAATCAACAAAAGCTTAAATAACATGAAAAATTTTGCACCTACATGCTTATTAAAAGCATCCATTCCCATATCACAGTTAATGTTGTTCCTTAGACCTCGTGTCCGCTCTCATTTCAATATCACTTTGAACAAATGGCTAACCTCTACTGTCACCAACAAATGAATCCTACAAGAAGATGAAGGAAGAAAAAGAAAAACAAATCATGGAAATTAAACTCTCTCCTTTTTGTGCCATCCAAATTCAAGAAATCGTGGAAATGATGATCCACTCGTGAGCACTATGGAGAAGAAACGTATCCAAATAAGAACAACAAAATCAATGAGATGATGAGACAGAGAGCAGAGTAGATAGAACCATAATGAAACCTATAAGCGTAGGTTCGCAAGACTATGAAGTTTGAGTATCTCATAAAAATTATTGAGAAGAAACAACTTAATATAGGGCTGTTTGAATCATCCAACAAATTCTCCCCTTCTTAACTTCTCCTATATGCAAGGAACAAAAAACCAGACCGGACACTAAACCGGTTGAGATGGTGGTTCAAGGGTCAGTTGGTCGAACCGGGGTCAACTCAAGATCCAACCGGTCATATTAAAATAATATAATTTAATTAAAAATAACAAAATATAACAACATTAACAATCACTAAAAACAAAATATAAGAAAATATGACAATAATTTGATTGTAATAATAACAAAGTATAACAACATTGAGAATTTTAATCTTTATGGTTCATCATTAATTAAAATTAATAGTCATTGATATCAAAATTATCATTAAAATTCATTTAAATCTATAGGGGCTAATATATTAGGAGCTTCATAAGAAAAAATAGGACTAATAACAACCTAATCATTCAAACTGGTTTATTACCGATTCACACAATTTTTTACCTGTTTTCATCAGTTCACACCGATTTGACCGGTTCTCTACTAGTTCAACTTCTTCCTGGTTTAGTATCCAAACCGAACCGGTCTATTGACAGGTTCATCGGTTTACCGGTTGAACCGACTGGTCCGAATTGGTTTTTTGTTCACTGCATATATGATATATGATATGATATGATTTAAAATTCAAATTTAAAAAGTTTTCAAAAAATCGTAACTTTTTTTATAGGAATCATGGCTTTAACCACAAAAAATGAAAAATAAAAATTAAGAAAAGCATGAGGAAGTGGAGAAAGTGGGTAAAAGGTGATGCAAGTTACCTTAACTTCCTGCTTAATTGTAATTTTGTTCAAAATGGGAGATGGTATAATGATTCTTCACATTGCTTATCGCAACAATGAGCACCATGTGATCATCACTGTAATGCAATCTAAATCATCCAAAATCTAATATGAATTGTTTAGATTTAAAATTTTTAATGTACAAATTTTTAATGATTCATTTATTTTTTAAAGATATGTTAGTTATGATGTTATATTTATTTTAAATTATGTATCTATTAAAGCAAAAAATTGATTAAAATATGTAAAAATTTTAAATTCAATCTGAATCATCTAAAATCAATCTGGATGGTCCAAATTGTGATGAGCACTCCATGCTCATCATTGTGATAAGCATGGAATGTGCTCCCTCCTTCATGTGGCCATCAGTTTTGAGGCAATTGAGATCATGATAATGAGAAGTGGAAGTTTTTAGAAAGCAAAATAAATAAAATATCCCCTAGAAAGCCATGGTAGGGAGATATTGGTTAAATCACGACCGAAACCACAAAGCATAAATATAGGATATGAGTTATATAAATATGATAATAAATTACATATAAATAAAAAAAATCTTTATAGTTGTTTATTTATTGCTAAAGCCAGCCATGTTAACCAATTTTGTTTATTGCTAAAGCCAGCCATGTTAACCAATTTTGTTTATGGCCAAAAAAATTAAATAAATTGCATACACAATCTTACAAGTTTTGTTTCGTTGTATTTCCATTTTGATCTAAAATTAATATTTTTATTTACATAAATGTCAGCAGAAGGGGTTGGAGAAAATAATCTAAATATACATTACGTAATATATATTATAATCACAAAGTTAAGAACTTAGAAACATTACGTAATAACGTGTGACCTGAAATCTATCTATAAGAAAAGTATATATTTAGGCTTAAGATCGTAATCTGGCCACACACAAAAAAAAGACCCAAGATCGTATCCGCACAAGAAATATTATATACAGTTTATTTTGGAAGATCATAAAAATTGCAATTACATAAGAGGATAAAAAAATCAACATATAAATTTTAAAAAGCTAAATTTCACGTAGCTAAATTAAGCCTCATACATTACCATCCACATTACCTCCCCACATTCTATTTTGAACAAAAAATAAAATTTATCCAACAAAAAATTCAAAGGAATTATTTTTAATTCTTCTAATCAATTTCAGTGAATCATAAAAACAAAAGTTCCATATAATATTATTACTTATTTACAGTCGCAACAGAAATAATTTTGTTTTAGCACCGGTTCAAAAAAAAATTAATGGCCACCCCTTAATTATGCACTACCATGCTGGCTGATTAAAATCATTGTGTGTTCACGCTGCACTGAAGGAGAAAAACATAAAAGACATGGAAAAAAAAATTTTTAAAGAAAAAGAACTCTAAACAAAAATTAAGGGAATGAGTGAGTAAGAATAATAAGTTAAACTGAACGCTGAGAATGAATTAATATTCATGTAAAACAAAGATACACTAAAATTTAGATAAACATAAAAACTGCATTTGACGAAGAAGAACGAAAATAAATGCCTAATAAATCCAGTGATATTTTTTCAACACATACAAGCAAATCTTGCATATCCTGAGGTAATATATGTAGAAATTTTAAATATAGGACGTTATTACCTATAATGATTTTTGTATTTTCATAAATTTTATATATATAAGGGAATAAATCAATATTTTAATCTGTTTTGTTTTTTGCTAAAAAAAAAAACCTGTTTTATTTTTGCCATTTAAAAATAATATGAACTCCTAACCCATTAATCAACAATTGACTTAGGAAGTGGCTATTGGCTATTATAAAAAACACTGTCCATGGCCACAACAACCCACTACCCATGTAAATAGGAAGAAATTATTATCAAATTACCAACAAAAATAAAACATAAAAAAAACACAAAATCAGCGATTAACTAAGGAAAACATAAATAAAAAATAAAATTTCTAAATACAAAGAACGCTATCACCTATAATGAGTTTTTATTGTCATATGCTATATTTATAAAGGAATAAATTAATATCTTAATAACCTGTTTTATTTTTGCCATTTAAAAATAATATGAACTCCTAACCCTTTAATCAGCGATTGACTTAGAGAGTGGCTGTTACCCATTATGAAAAAACTGTCCATGGCCACAGCAACCCGCTAACCACGTAAATAAGAAGAAATTATTATCAAATAAGTAAAAAAATAAAACAAAAAAAACACAAAATCAGAGATTAACTAAAGAAAACATAAATAAAAAATAAAATTTTTAAATACAAAAAACGCTATCACTGATAATGAGTTTTTATTGTCATATATCATATATATATAAATGAATAAATTAATATCTTAATAACCTGTTTCTTAATGGTTCTAGGACGAAATATAAATTATATAAAATAAACAGATAAGTATGAAATGAAACAAACGAAATTGTTTGACCATTATAAAAAGCATAGTTGTCTCTAAGTATATGATCAACACACATAATAACTAGAAATAAATACATAAACTAAAAACAAATTAAAAACGCCAAATTAGGAATAAGAGCTAGAAATGAAATTAACAAAATGACATAAAATTCGAAATCATCAACTCAAGCCTATTCTTCCTGGATTTGTTTGTATTTTGCTATGCAGCATCTTGCAAATGATGTGTTATTTCATCAGCTTCAAGATTTCCACCAAGTGGATGATTTAACACATTTTTAGTATTGTTCTTCGTAGCATTATGTCCAGATGTAGTAGAAGGGATTTCCACGAAACCAACATTGTGCTTGCTACTCTCTACCTCAACTTGACAATCAGCTGATGGGAAATTAGCAAATGGGTTTGCCTTCTCAACATTGGCAGTGTTTACAATTGCAACTTTAGATTCTACTATGGACTTCATTACTTCAAGACTTGGGCCTATTACAGTTGGCACTTGGTGTGTAGAGGTTGAGTCAAACTTTTATAATTTAGGGAAATTTGCATGCACAGTTTGATTAGCAGAAGAACTTGCACCATCAGATGATTCTACCAGGCATTGCTTAGTGTTTTGCATAAATGTAAAGATTTAGATGCATAGAAACATGTGTATATATTTGTGTAATGCATCCGAAACATAAATAAAATGATATAATACAAAATGAAATAGCTATACCTTTTCTTTTGTGAGACCAATGGAACTACAACCCTCTGACACAACGTATTCATAAGATGTGTTCAAAAAAGACTGTATTATGGTTTTATCATTTGTCAACCGAGTAACTACACATACATTGGATTCCCATTGATAAAATCTCCTAGAATATGTATCTTGAACAAATACCTCTTCCAAGATATCTGCTCAAGAATATATGACAATATACCTTCATCGAAGTCGTTGACATTGCATTCTTCTTTTTCCCCCACTCCAGTTAGTAACCCGATGACATCTACAAGAGAAAATATAGAGTTAGCTCACCACAAATAATTTTAACATAATAATCACATATCCAACACTTATATAACAGCCTATCAATTAGATATCAATCATCAAACTAATTGGGTAATATTTTAGAGACTGAATGGAATGTAAAACCAAAGCTGTTTATTTTTCCATCATTCGCACATGGTCGAACAGAAGTGGAAAAAATAAAGTTTGCTCGGTAGGGATGATCATTGGTTTGGTATGAGCCTGTATTGGGAGAAACATAAAAACACGACACCACATATGTTTTTCCCTCTTCAAGATTCTTGCGATGTCGTGGAAGGAAGGCAGTCCTAACTGTAGCGTGGATGTTGTCACCCTATAAGAAAATAACTCTTAGAACACAAGAAGTAAGATGCCTAAATTAATCAATAAAAAACTTACATCCTCGTCCATAAGAATCATTTCCACGGATGATATCTCTTCATGAGAGTAGCGTCCAGGCATAGTCCATAATCGAACCACATGAACTTTGATTTTCCAGTTTTGTCTGCATGGGTTAATAGCACGAATTGAATCAAATGCAGGAGCTATGTGAACACGTGGAGAAAATGGATGGTGCGGTAACAATAGGAGGAATTTACTAACTGGAATAAATCCATAGGCTCCTGCTATTTATATAGTAAAAAATTCATCTTCGGTTACAATAAGAAAATAAACATTATTAGCAATGCACATGTGTTATGTACCAACAGTTTCCCCCATAATACATAGCGGTGATAGAGCACAAAATACCATGTAGTTGTGCGCATAGTGGGTAGTAGGGGTGTTCACGGGACCGGGACAGGCCCGTCCCGGTGAACAGGGACGGGACGGGATTTTTGTCCCGTGTCCCGTCCCTTTTTTTTTTTTGCCTCCTTCAATATTCTGGACCTTTTTTGAATTGGGCCTATGTTTTTCTCTTTTTTTTTCGTTCTATTTTTTTGGCCCCCTAGTTTCATTCAGTTCTGGACCTTTTCTGAATTGGGCTTGAGATTGCTTTCCTTTTTTTTTTTTGGAGCAACCGAATTTAATCAAGTTAATTTGGGCCTTTGCTTGCTTTTTTAACAAAAACTCCTCAACACTGCAGTCACTGTTTAGATTATATTACAGAAATTAAATCAAAGACTACCTAATTAATGAAAAACACCGTACTCAAATTAACATACCATGCAACCATCCGTTTAATGAGAATTACAACAAAATGCACGTCTTATCATTGTTAAATTTATGCACATGAGAATTCCAACAGCATCTGAAATTAATCCTGCACCTCTAAAACTGTAACATTAAAAATCCTGCAGGCCACCATTCTTTTTTTTGTTCCTGAAGGTCATGGAGTCACCACTGAAGCACATTCTCCTACATTAATAATAGAAAGATCTGTTAAATTATATAGCAATTGAGAACACCCACACATACATATGGAGGACTTATATATATATATATATTGCATGATTCTTGGATGTGTTCGTATCATCCGAATACAAAACTCCAAACCAGTACTTGTCTTCACTCTATGATTGCTATCTCTACACAGGACGCTTGATTGATGATATCAAACTTTCTTACAAGTTACAACACACACACGTTCATGTTTTGCCCTTTTTCATCTTGTCCATTTTGAAATGGCACAAATATCAAGCAAATAAGTATGTCAATTTATTTTTTTCCTAAAAATATAATAATTAACATGTAAAGAAAATTAAACTCATTAAAAGAGATATACTAACATATACTTGATTTACAAAATATGAATTAATATCCATTCAATGACCTATGGATCAATCCACTTTAGCTCGTTCCCAACTCGGTTGGATCTAGGATAGGACCGGTCAGCACAACTTCACTTACTTATATATACCATCGATCCTATCTTAATTCATGTGTTGTAGTTGAGGGGACATGAGAAGCATAAAAACTTAATGCATGTATTAATTTGATGTTAATATGTAACAGGGAGAAAAAATTGACGCTAATAAGTAAGAAACAAGGCAAGCAATGCAAGTCTTGCATTCTCAAGGTCTTTACTATTTTGAATCACTTTTTAGCAATCAAGAACACAATAATAAATCTGCAATCCAAGCAGAACAATCCACCATAATTCATTTTGAAGACAATCATAACACAATCAGTTCAAACCAAAACAAGCAAGACATAATAATATAAAAATTTCAATCCATGACATTAAAGATAAATCAAAACAACTAACCATGAGCCAACTACAAAGCAATTTAACTTTCCAAGAGATTTGAAATTGAAGCTGTTAATTGCTCTTCTGCAAAAAAAACACCATAAAAAGAACAATTTGTTAGTGCCTTAGTGTTATAAAGTATTTAAACAAAACTGAAAAAATAAATTAAATAAAATAAAAAATAAAAATTACCAATATCAGTATCATTAAAGTTATCAATATCAAATCCCTTTACTTTTGATGTAGATGGAGATAACCAATTCTGTGCACAAATTAGTGCCTCAGCCATATTTGATGATAGGGAACTTCTGAATTCATTAATGACACGACCTCCCGTACTAAATGCAGATTCTGAAGATACAGTGGATACAGGCATGGCCAAGACATCACGTGCAATCAATGAAAGGATTTTATATTTAGAACTATTCACTTTCCACCATGCCAAAATATCAAAGTTAGGATGAAGAACATCAACTAACTCAGCTTGAAAATACCTCTCCACTTCTGCATATTTATCTGTTTCAACTTCAACCTCGTTTTGGGCAATAAATAGTTGCAGTAGAGGCCTAGATTCCAACATTGCCATCTGAAGTTGACTTAAGCTAGCAGGTTCACTTGATGCTTGTGTCTGACTTTGATTTTGAGATTCAGATGTGTTTGTTTCATGCCCACTTAAATAGAAGTCATACAAACAATACAAGTCATTTGTGACTCTATTTGTCATGGCTTCACGTTGTGTAGAATCAGGGAACATCTCATGAAAAGCAAGCTTCAAAAACTTCATTTTATACCTAGGGTCAAGAACCATTGCTATTACCAACAAAGGATTGAGATTCTCCAACTTTCCCCAATACTTTTCATACTTAACTTTCATCCTCTTAGCCATATCAGACACCAGAAAATTAGGATTATTTGCCCTTGTATGCAGGATAACAAACACATCAGCTATATGTTGAAAGCATACATTTGAGGTAACATAAAGTGATCCTGAAAATTGCAAAGTGATGTCATAGAACACTTTTAAAAAGACAACAAATTCTTTAGCATCTTTCCAATTGGAAGCATCAGGAGGACCAATTAATGTTTTCTCCACAAAATAGTTTGTGTAATCATTATCCTCTTTCTCCATTCTTTCAAAGACGCTACTGAATTTAATAGCATTCTCCAATATGATGTAAGTTGAATTCCACCTAGTTGGACAATCCATGGTTAGGAGGCTCTTAGAGTCAACTTTCATTTTCTCAACAAGCTCTTTGAATTTAAGCAACCTTCCTGGAGAAGACCTCACATATTTAATGGCATTGCGAATGCCTTCAATAGATTTGTGCATGTCCTTCACACCATCACAAACAATTAAATTCAAAATATGTGCACAACACCTCAAGTGTAAGAAGTCCCCATTACATACCAAACCATTCCAATGGCTCAAAACATCTTTTAATTTTGCCACTGCATTATCATTTGAAGACGCATTATCAACTGTAATAGTAAACACTTTCTCAATGCCCCAAGCTAATAAACATTTCTCTATTTCTGATGCAATTGTATCACCCCTATGATTTTCAACTACACAAAAATTCAAGATTCTCTTTTGATATATCCATTCCTCATCAATCCAGTGAGCAGTCAAGCACATAAAGTTAGAATTCTGACAAGAAGTCCATGTATCTGTAGTGAGACAAACACGAACTTTGGTTCTTTTAAAATACATTTTCAACTTCCTCGCTTCTTCAATATACAAACCCAAACAATCCCTAGTGACAGTCGCTCTTGATGGGACTTGAAAACGGGGTTCTATCCTAGTCATCATTTCTTTAAACCCATCACCTTCCACAACTCGAAAAGGCATTTCATCCAATATAACAAATAATGCAACCCCTTTTCTACATTCTTCTTGATTGAATACATGATGACTCAATGTTTTAGAAGAACCTAATTGAGAGCTTGACAACAAAGATTGTGTCTTCTTATTAATTCGGTTTGGATTTAAGACACACCTCTCTATATGTTTTTTTAATCCACTTGTCCCATATGAAGAGTGACAAGCAATTGTTGTTGGACAATACTTGCACTTTGCTCGAAGTTGCCCATTTGTCTGGCTTAAAGGAAGCTTGTCAAAATGATCCCAAACCGCAGATTTCTCTCTCTTTGCTCTCGGTTCATCTCCTTCCTCACCCTCAATACTTGTCAAACCAGTGTTTTTTTCCTTTTCATTAACAGGTGTTTCTATAGTTCTACTTTCATTTTCACTATAATCTTCTTGACCAGTTTGTGCATTCGACATCTTTAAAATAAATTAAACTTCTTTTCTGCATAAATAGAAAAAAAAAGCACAAATAATTTACAACTGAAATTGCTAACTAGTTCGAATCCAATATATATCCTCACAACACAGACAACAATCTGACATCAAATACAATATATATCATTTAACTAAGCTCAATTCGGACCATGCATGGATGACACTTCCATTAAATGACAATATATCCTCAGTTCGAATTCAATATATATCCTCACAGTCACAGCCAGTCAAACCACACTTCACAGAATCACAGCAAAGTTGTCCGAAATTAAAAAAAAAAATAGCAAAGACAGTTACCTCGCAGATGAATTGAATTTCAGGGTGTGTTCAAACTCCACAGCAAAGGCACGGCGCCACGGGCACACAGAGCTGGCGCAGGGAGAGACACGGCGAGAATTTTAATTCAGGGCGATGCAATTTTTCACTCAGCTCCAGGATTATGCAATCATGGGTAATTATACTTTTCAGTGATTGTCAATGGCAGAGAATCAGTGGAGACTCAAAGAAGAAGAGGCGGGAGAGTACTCACCGGCGTCAGAGTAGTGGGCAGTCGGGCACGCTAGCTCTTCGGTGGTCACTATCGTGTGCGAGAGTCGCGATTGCAGGAGTAACAGAGCGCCAGCCGCGGGGAAGGAACGACGAGGAAGAGGCGTGCCTGAAGGCAGAGGCGCCGAAGCCGTCGAGGTCGCGGGAGAGTTCAGTACAGAGTAACGCTAGCGAGGCGGTGGTCCGGATTCAAGATCCAAATGTGGCTTTGGCTTCAGCTATCTCCTTGTGCGCAAGAGTCGGGAAACAAGTGAGCAGACCTTCGGTCGCACCGTCGCAGAACGACAGAAGAGACGGATTTCAGCAGCTCTGATTTCTGAAGCCAGCGGAAGCAAAGACTCACAGAATCGAGGACTTCTTTGGACCTCGTTCTGAAGAAAGAAAGATCGAGTGGTGAAATTCAGTCTAACGTAGCAGAGGCGAGAGCGGCACTGCGGCAAGACGAGGCGCGGCGATGGGCACTGGGCAGTATGAAGTGAACTGAACCTCTGAGAGTCTGAGTAAATTTGAGTATGAAGAAATTTAGGGCTCAGGACATCAGGAGAGTCGAAGGGAGGACCGGATAAATTGAAAATTGTAATTTTTTTTTTATAATATACCCCGGGACGGGACAGGGACGGGACGACCCCGTCCCGTGTCCCGTCCCATACCGGGATACATTTTGTCCCGTCCCGGTATTGTCCCGTCCCGTAAATTTTTTTGTCCCGTCCCGTCTCGTCCCAAAGCTACCGGGACCGGGACGGACCTACCGGGACGGGACAATTTGAACACCCCTAGTGGGTAGCAGATTTTGTGCGCATAGTGGCCTATGTAGTGGGATGATGCAAGTGATTTTGTGCGCATAGTGACCATACCCATAATGTTGACACCCTAACTTTTGCCGGTTTTATGAAATATTAATTTTAATTTTAATTTAGTAAATAGATTAAAATATGAAATATTAATTTGAAATCTGAAAGACTAACCATCCTTGAAAAATTCCACCTAAAAACATAACAATGCGTGCACACAAGACTATTCAATTATTTTATTCTTTAATTTTATAAATATATTTGTAAGTTCATAACTTTTTAATCTATAAATTTCAATTTTACTTTTATGAAATATTAATTTTAATTTAATATTTGAAAGATTATTAAATGTAATTTAAAATAATATTAATTTGAACCCAAAGTAACCAATTGCGGCTTTTTAATGAAATATTAGTTTTAGTTCAAAACATAAAATATTAATTAAATTAATTTAAAGCATAACATATTAATTAGAAATCAAAAAACTGCCCATAACACAGCCTTGAAATACGGGACAATTTGGATAATTTTTTAATTTAATAGCTATCATATATTTACAAAACAAAAAATATTACTTCACTTAATTGTAATTGAAAAAAAACTGCCCGTGTTCACCGTTAATGAAACTACCTATCATGAAACTGTCAACCCACATTTCATAGTGAATGATCTTAAACGTGGGGCAACCAAGATATGCAGTAATCAAATAATTATTAAATGATTTATTAAATAGTAAAAGAGATGACTTTTTATTTCCAAACGATTAAAAAAATTGATGCATTTATCTCCCTCCTCATTTTGCCACTTGTCGCACTTCTAGATGGCCTTGCAGAGACCCCTTCCTTATCATAGTAATAGATAGATTAATAGATATGATGTTATTATGTCATATAAGAAACAAACCTGCCATTCGAGTACTAAATTTATTAAAATTATCAATTGTGTGACAAGCTAAAATTTAAATTTTGAAATAAATACGAGTATTAACTTAAAATGCGAACTTTTGATCCAAAATTAATTGGAAGATAAAGTCAATGATTTCAATAAATTGGAAACAAAATCAGAAGGGATAATTAATCTCCAGCTCCTTATAGTTTCATCTGATTTTTAATAAGGTCCTTATAAAATTTTTCTTTTTATCAGATCCTTTTATTTTCGTGTGTTTTTAATGAGGTCATTCTATTTTTTTTTCTTTTTATCAGGTCCTTATAGTTTCACTTATTTTTTAATTAGGTGCTCTGTAGTTTTTAAAAAATTATTTATTAACTTTATTCTTTAAAATTAATTTTATTTTTAAATTAATAATTATATAATTGGACAAAATAATTAATATAATCATTTAGTAATTAATAAATAATCAGAATAATACATACTTAAATATCAATTATTTATAATCATATTTTAATTTTAGAAAAATTTATTATTATAATTTGAATTTTATAATTATAAAGATTCGAATTGAAAATAAATAACATATTTGTTTAACTAAAAATTTAAAAGAATATTAACATAAGATTGTTACAATGATTTATTATTTTTAAGATGTTATTATTTGTAAAATAAAGAATAAAAACTACAAAGACCTAATTAAAAACAAAGAAAAACAATAAGGACCTGATAAAAAGAAAAAAAATTATAAAGACCTGATTAAAAATATATAAAAGCATAAGGACCTGATAAAAAGAAAAAAATTATAGGGACCTGATTAAAAATCAGTTGAAACTATAAGGACTTACATATTAATTATCCCAAATCAGAATAGAATGCTTAGTTTATGTTTTGTTTTATTTTATATTAGAGAGCCCGAAAGAAAACAAAGCGTGAAACCAGGCAAGCTTCGAATTCGAATGAAAATTAGATGACTTATGGCATTTTCTATTTTCACCAATGACATTGCATGGATAATGGCAGATTAAAGTATTTTGTGGAGCCCATCTGATTTGCTGATGACGAACACATAGCCTTCCTCCATGATCCACAGTTTAATATTGGCTACATAATCTCTGAGCAAAGTGCGAGACATCCTAGCAAGTTCTCATAAAAGACAATCGCAACGGTTTAAATCTATATGTCTGAAAAAATAATGAAAAGAAAATTCCATATGTTGAAACCTTAAAACCTAAAAAAAGATCATATAACCCAAAAAAAAAAAAAACCATTGCATCAATAGAGTTTAACCTTCGTGACCAACATGACCAAGCAAACAAGAATCGATGTCCTTGAAGAAAGTTGAAAATTCAAGATAGATCGTATCACCAAAACACCTTGCATCAGCAGAATTGATGTCCTTGAAGAAAGTTGAAAAGAAAAGAAATAGATCATATCACCAAAAAAGAACATTGCATCAGTAGAGTTTAACCTTCATGACCAGTATGACCAATCATCCTGCCCGTAGGTGGGTTTAACCAAAAAAAGAACATTGCATCAGTAGAGTTTAACCTTCTTCAATGTGCCCCATTCTCAACCGGCACTAGACTTTTAATGTGGTTGAAGATGTAATCAGCATCTTCAAACCTGTGAGTCCCAATGATCCTGCTCGTGTCAGTATTGACATTATGCATATGTAAAAACATCAGTGGATTTTCATCTTCTGCATTTTCATCTTCTGCATTTTCATTTTCTGCATTTTCATCTCCTGCATGTTCAATATCATTAGCTTCTTCAAATACTTGATCGTTGCTGCACACTATCTCGTTTCTTAACACAGTGACGGGCTCCCATAAACTTATAAGGGGTCCGGTACTTCCTTTCTTAGTCCAAACCTGCATACGCTCATCAATTACCCACAACTCGATATCAACTCTTACATTTTCAATATAAACCTGAGAAAGTAAGGCAAGTTTTTTCTCGTACTCAGTCGGCCTAAAATCAAGTCTCGTAGCCGCGTCTAATGTAGGAAATGGTATTAGACTAAACTCTTCTTTCGCTATGTCAAATATAGCAAGATGACTCTTGAAACCCTCGTTAGTTTTTAGATATACCCACCAAACTACAGCTCCAGCCCCTGTGATGGTGACACCATCAGATTGAAATCTCACATTATCTAATGAACCTCCAAATTCTACCTCCTTCCAAAGAGGCGGCATAGTGTACAATGAAAATACTTCCACTTTATGAACAAACCCTCCCTCAGACCAATAGAGCATTACTATCTTATAATCGTTATTTCCAAACCCAAAACCTAAGAAGCAATCAACCTCGGTCCTTAGGAGCACTGGTCGGGTTTTTCTAATCTCTGGATTCCACACTACAAAAGAGGATACATGTGATCTATCCTGACCGATGGCCAAACATATTAGGCCATTAGAAGAACCAATTACGCATGCTTTCATCAAAGGATCTACCAATGGGCTATGAAGTTCGTGGAATTCCTGACCGCCATTGAGTACAAATAATCGCAGCACATTATATTTGGCATTACCGTTTTGCAGGAGCAGAAAGGGATTCTCTTGACTCCTTTCAAGATGCGTTTGAACCATGTTTGGACTCCTGATGACACGTCTCCAATCTTTAGAGACACATTGCAACTGCATTATGGATGGAATGGGGAATATTTTGAAAACCTCAATTAACGCATCATCCGGAGGGTCAATGAAGTTATTATCAGGTGCAGGTGCTATGGCACCTTGATTTGCATTCCCGTCA